TTTCAACCTAACCCATGACAGTAAATGATTCTGGTAGGGTCTAGGTCAAGTGCTGTTGCTGATTACAAATACAACAGTAGGCCAAAGTTTAAAAAAACACACAATTTTCGAGAGGCCTTTGATGTAAAAGGTGAACAATGCCCCACCTCACGTTTTAAAAAGGGTAGAAAGCAGGACTTGGGAACTATAAACCTGTCAGCCTCACCTCTGTGCCTTGGAAGATCATGGCACAGATCTTCCTGGAAGCTATGCTAAGACACACAGAGGACAGAGGGGTAATTCAAGATGGCCTGCCTGACCAACATAGTGGCCTTCTATGATGGAGTGACTATGTCAGTGGACAAGGGAAGAGCTACTGATGTCATCTACCTCGACTTCTGTAAGGCCTTTGATGCAGTCCCCCACAACATCCTTCTCTCTTAAGTTGAAGAGAGATGGATTTGATGGCTAGACTGTTCAGTGGATGAGGAATTGGTTGAATGGTTGCATCCAGAGAGTAGCAGTCAACAGCTAAATGTCTAGATGGAGACCAGTGATGAGTAGTACCCCTCAGAGGTCTGTATGGGACCAGTACAGTTTAATATCTTCATCAGTAACATAGACAGCGGGTTTGAGTGCAACCTCAACAAGCTTGCAGATGACACCAAGCTGAGTAGTGTGATTGACACACCTGAGGGACGGGGTGCCATCCAGAGGGACTTGGACAAGCTCGAGAGGTGGGCCTGTGGTGAATGTCATGAGGTTCAACAAGGCCAAGTGCAAGGTCCTACCAACCGCATCCTGGGCTGCATCAAAAGAGGCATGACCAGCAGGTCCAGGGAGGTGATTCTGCCTCTCTTCTCTGTTCTGGTGGGACCCCACCTGCAGTACTGCATCCAGCTCTGGAGTCCTACAGGAAGGACATGGACCTGTTGGAGGTTGGCCAGAGGAGGGCCACAAAAATGATAATGGGGAATGGAACGCTTCTCCTATGAGGAAAGGCTGAGAGAGTTGGCGTTGTTCAGCTGGAGAAGGTTCTGAGGAGACATTATTGCAGCCTTTCAGTACTTAAAGAGAGCTTGTAAGAAAGATGGGGACAAACTTTTTAGCAGGGCCTGTTGTGATAGAACGGTGGTAATGGTTTTATGATAAAAGAGGGTAGATTCAGACTAGATACAAGGAAGACGTTTTTTACGATGAGCGTGGTAATGACCTATCCTTGGAAATGTTAAAGGAATTCTTTGTCCTAGGTTTCCCGCAGCAGTCACAGATGTCATATTCCAGGTTAAAAAAAATATAAACGAGTGGTACAGCAATAGGAGCAGCTCAAGCTGGATGGCTCCGGGAGAGGGACCCTGAACAACAAAACCCCTGGACATTTTTACCCTTACAGACTATGCAACCATTCGTCATACGCTGTTCACATCTGTGGCACGCGCTTCCAGGTCCAGTGGTAATTTTTGGTCAGGGGTAGTCTTCGTTCCTTACTGGATTCTTTCTCTGCCTCCAGACGGGCTGATAGCTGTTTCTTATCTGGATGAGTTGTACCTTTTGTGGACAGTGGTGGCTGCCTTGTCTTTCAGCTTGCACTGGAAGATTCCTGTAATTGCACTCTCGTAACTAGGCAGCAGTTCAAGATAAGTTCTACTTTCCTAGGTGAAAGTTCAAAGCTTGCAGCCTAAGGCTTCAGCACATTTAGCTGCTAATGCTAAACAAGGCTATTAGTCCTAACGATTTTTAGCAGTGCTAAGAAAGACTATTCAGACAAAAGAGTGCAATTAAAAGAATCCAGTTAACCAAACTTAATCTACAATAGAAACATTCGAGGTCAACCTGAGCTAGTTGAAGATGTTCCTGCTTATTGCAGAGGGCTTGAACTAGATAACCTTTGAAGATCTCTTCCAAGCGAAACTATTCTATGATTCTGTGATGTCCTTAGTGTTCAGCCTGACAGTAGCCAGCTCACCAATTTGAGAGTCCAGTCATATCATATATTCTGGAAGAAAGAATCCTTGAAAAGGAGATTGTGGTATTCTGCAGCATTATTAAATTACAGATTGCCTTCATACTGTTTGTCTTAATGATGTCATTGTATGTAAAATACATCTTGGTAATCTTCCTTTAAGATTTTATCATTAAAAGTGATAGTTATGTTCCTGCATGGAAATGGACTGTGGACATGAAACGTTGAGGGAATGTTCAGGTTTACTTGGAGGTCAAAGCTGTATTTTCCCTTGAAGATTTTAAAGCCATGTGAAAGCCTTTCTTTGATTTGTGCAAGAGTGGTGGAAACAGTCTGTAACTTCTCCCAGCAGCTCAGTATTGCTTTTCCTTCATTAGTTTCATGAATTAAAAAAGTAATGAGATTACCTTTTAAAGGATTCTATAAATTACAAAACTCTTGTTTTGCACATTTTCACATTATGTAAATGTTGTAACCTCATGTCATCTTCTGACAGCACTTGTAGCCAAAGATATAAGGCTTGTCTTTGGCAGAAGAGGTGACAAGGTGTGTTTGTTTCATAGGTGTTCCTTTTTCTTCGTGAGATTCAGGCCACAAATAAAACATTGTGATGATTTTGGTAGTGAGACCGGGAAGGGAGAAATAATTTAGGGAATCAAGATTCTGCAAGAGGGTATGCAGCCAACTTGCAGGATATTCAGGGAGTGCTGTGCAATAGAGCAACGCGGTGTTAGTCGGAGCGACTGTGCAAGTCAGTATGGGTATAGGGGTTTTGAAGTGGAGGGGAGCAGCTCCAAGATAAAGATAGTTTAATAATGATTTTGCACTCCTCTGATTTAAATGCTTTTTTATTTTTCGTGCATGATTCTCATCGCTTTTTGGTTGGTTCTTTTTAACACGCGAATGTTTAATATTAATTTTAGCCGTGTTGAGCTTCAAGGAGTTAGCTGTTCTTGATGGCTTGCCTTTACCATAACTGAGTTCTGTATCTCAGCCATGCATCATCTCACTTGTAATCTTGGCATTGTTCAAGCCTCAGACTTATTTATTTCTTATTTATTTATGTGACTCAGGAAAGAGGGTAACTGCCAGGGGATGAGACCTGTTACTTGTATTGCAAATAATTTTCAAGATAAGAAAAGCAGAACTAATTTTCAGATGTTTACTTCTGAGACAGTTGAAATGTAATACATGTTATCCTCTCCACAACACTGTGGTTCAGGGAATAAAACAAAATATTTACTGGCACATTCCTCTTGGCTTGAATGGTGGCGTATAGCACCAGTTTCGTTTCAGGGACTTGAGTTAGATAGGTGTCATAGTTGGCTGCTGGGTGCAGAACTGATGGAATCGGTGTAGAGCTCACTTAACCATCAACTGTTGTGTAGATGCCTATAAAATGCAGCACTATGCTCAATTTGCAGATGTATATTTATTGTGTTTAAAAATCAAATTGAGAAGTAGCAGGCTATATCTCACTTGCTGACATGTTTTTTGTGTATCTAACTGAAGCATCTCATTTATGGTTATTTATAAGTGTTTTTTTTTCAATTCTGTTCTGTAGAGTCCATAACTGTATTGAATGATGCTCTAAGTCAGATAGAGTCTCCAGAGAATGTTTCTATGAATTCGACAAGTGCTGGATCAGTGGTCTCTTCATCTGTTGACATGGTACGTACCTCTTGTCTACCAGATACATTCAAAGGTCGGTGAAAACCTTAAGCAGAGAGACTTGTGTTGCTGATCAGCTTCTACTCTGGCTTGCTGTCTGCAAAGAGAAGGGTGGGTTTTAAACTATGAAGTGAGGAAGCAGAGTAAGAAACATCTCCAGACTTCACTCTTTATTTTTCTTATCGATGATGGGAAAACTTAAGGCTGAATAGACTGAATAATGCAGAATGCAAGTGCTTGTAAGTTATTTAAGCCTCTTTAGTTAGAGTATTGTTCAGAAAAGGGGCAGGAGACAGGTCTTGCCGGACAATGTGGTTTTGCTCTGCTTCTTCCTTCCTTCCTTGTTTCAATCTTATTACAGTTAATGTTACTTGTTTCATTTGTGGTTTGTTCTAGTGACTTTCTTGTGCATTGCTGGGAGCAGAGCTGTGTGAAGTTGTACTACCTATTCTTGCTGTAAACTGCAGCAAGATACAATGCGTTACATTAGAGTTGCTTGTACTGCAACAAATACAGTAATATTCTATGGTATATTTACTACTCATATTTTATGTTTACATGTGACTGTAAAGTCAGATGAGAATTTTGTTTGATATGAGAATTGCAGAAAGAACGCAAGTGCAACATTAACTGTTATGAAGTTTTATTTTATACTGTTTTTTAATTTCCAGGCAAGCATTGTTGGCCGGGAATTGGGTACCAACGTGTATAAATATACTCACTTAGAGCCTATTCTATATGCCCTTGGTGTGGGAATGTCAACTAAGGATCCGGATCACCTGAAATTTCTCTTTGAAGGAAGTGAAGACTTCTGCTGTTTACCTAGCTTTGGAGTAATTCCTGCTCAGACTTCGATGTTTAGTGGTATTCCTTCTCTTCTAGGACTAAATATAGATCTTGCAAAGGTATGGAAGAGTTAAGTACCTGATTTTGCTTGTGCTTTAGGTAACTATAATGTGCCTTTAATTCATATGTTTGCAATATTAATAAGTTTCCTTTATTCTAGAAAAGGAAAATTCAGTGTTTTGTATTCTTACATCTTAAGAAATTATGTGTCTACTTCACTTGTGTAACCTGTGTCTTCCTAAGATGGTATGAATGATCAGTTTTTCGTAAAATTTTAATTTGTGTTCATTACGCTTTTTTAAATCACAAAAGCTTAAAACTTTCTTCAAAAATGTTTTCTGTTGGGCATAAAATTGGAAAAACAAAACAACAAACCTGTGGTTTTGATTCTTTTTAATTTGTTCTTTCTGAACATTTTCTAAAATAACTGTATATTTTCTTGCAATTGTGATGAGAAAAGCAATAGTATATATTGGTTGTTGTTATAGCACTGCCTTTCTTTACATAGATGCTGCATGGTGAGCAGTATCTGGAACTATATAAACCATTACCGACCTCAGGTCAGTCCTTTTGTGTTGCTGATTTGCCTTTCACTACGACAACAGTCCCTGTAGCCATATTGTAAATGGAAGTAGGGAAGCTCTGTTTCCAACTGTTTCTTTTGCATATTCTTTTTACAAAGGGTGGAGGAGAAGAGAGGCAACCTGTTGTGTTATTGAAGGAATTCTGAAACTCTGTGGTTTTGGTACCAGGTGTTGCTTTTCTATAGTTTACTTAGTAAACTCATGCCTCATCTTTTATATAATAGGCAAATACACTACATGCTGATTTATTACTCGTATAATTTGATACAACCTTAATGAAAGAATTAAAAGTTCTGCTAGTTAGTATTATAGAACTTTTGCTATGTTTACCTAAAAATTCTTCAACATTGGTTGCATCTGTGTGACTGTAAGAGGATAAGATTTAAATGACATAGGTAAAGGAGGAATGGACAACTTGATGAGGAGGCTAAACAACAACAACTTTTCTTCCTGTCAAAATCCTCAACATATTAGTTACTGCAGTAGCAAGCCCTTTTCACAGATGGCTGTGTTTTCCCAGATTGCAACGCTTGAGAGATACTTAGTAGACTTGTTTGGGGTATGCATGCATGTGTCTGTGTTTCTTTAAAAATTAACTTTTCCAGAGTGTAGAAGGAAAAAAAAATCTTGCAAGCCACAGATAAATGGCATAATTTCTTGTTGAAACAAAAAGGAGATTTATGAAACTTATATTAACTTCAAAGGAGTCTGATAATTAATAATGAACTGCCAGGACTTCGTAAAGCTTATTATTTTTCCATTCTGTAGGCTGATTACGTAAACATATATGGTTACATACCTCTCTAGAGTGATAACCTCTTCAGAGACAAACTTCGTAAACCCACAGGCCAAGGGCCCTGAGCTGAGCTGCTCGTCTGTAGAACTGTAGTTGTCTCAGCCCACTTGAAATTTATGGACACTCCTTAAGTGATTTGAGCTATCTTTGAAGGTAGCAATGTGTTCAAGTCTGAAACGTGATTTGTGTTTAGCTCTGAATACATAAATATAGCAAGATTCTATTTAAAAAAATGCAAAAACTTACAATATAATTCTTCACATCTGCAAACCAAGATTTGCAGAGATTCCCAGACACTTTTCTTATAGTCATGTGGATTGTGATTACTATTACTATGATTATTATTACCATTATTATTAGTAGTAGTAGTAGTAGTAAGAGTTTTTACTTTGTAAAGAGTGATCTATGGACTTAATTCCTGAAGAAAAACCTTACAACATATGTATGTTCTTCATAGATTCATAGATTCATAGATTTCTAGGTTGGAAAAGACCTTAGAGATCATCGAGTCCAACCATCCCTAATCCCCATTAAACCGTATTCTCATTCTTTTCTTACAGGGCAATTAACTTCAGTTTCAAGTGTTGCTGATATTCTCGACAAAGGATCAGGAGCAGTCGTGCTTATAGATGGTAAGAAGGTTTATAATTTTTGGAGGGGATGCAGTAAAATTTGACAGGCTCAGTTTTTATCTAGCTGTACCGATAACTGCCAGCCTTTCCACAGTAAAGACTGAATGAGAGCTGAGAAATGAGGTAATTATCAATAGCTGTGTAGATGTACAACCTGATTGTTCCTGGGCAGCTAACGTACTGAAATAAGAACACTCTCTTTTTGAAAAAAATTTCAAAGGTGGTTTTTTTTTCTGTGTAGGTAGAATAGTGCACTATGCAAACTGAACAAAATTCTTTAATAATAATAATACTTAGTCTTATCTGAAGGCAGCCATTTTAGATTCTACTACCTTTCAGCAAGGTGAAGTGTCTGCGCATGTGTGCGTGTGTTTTGCAGGGTGGTTTTGCAAAGGTTAGTCATGTGCATATGTTGTGTAGACTCATCTGCAAAGCAACCATCTTTAAGAGCGTGTCCTGCATTCTTTTTTTGTGTCCTCACTACTCTTTTCTAAACAAAATAAAACCCCATTTTCTTTCTCTTGTATCCAAGTTAAAGGATCAGAATATCTCCAGAAGTTGCTAAGTTATTGTTTTCAGAATTTTGGTATCTTTAGGTGCAGTTATACCAAGGTCCCTTGGAAAATTAGATTGCAAGATCAGGTTAACAGGCAGTGAATCTCTAACCACTCTTGAATTTTTATTCCTTCAGTGTACAGATAAAATTGTAAAGAGGTCTTTATTGTCCCTTTTTTCTTCCGAGCTGTGTTTTGCTGCCATACTGGGCTAATGCTGAACCTATCTGTTTCTGCAGCACAGAAAAGTACTTTTTGTGAGCAGAGTCTTAGTGGTTTTTAAATTTTTTTCCAGAACTGGAAATGAACATTGTTAGCAATACTGTAAATTTCAGTCTTAAGGTGTAAGGGAGTGGAATAGGCATGAACTGGAAACAGGAAGTTGAATCTTGATTCAGTGTAAGAGGTTTAACTTCTTCAAAAGAAGGAGTAGGTGACCTTAAACTAAAGCTTATTCTGGAGCTCTTTTCATACAAGGTACTAGTACTGCTTTTGTATGAGTTGGTAATGTGCTTTACACACTAGGGATTCTTAATAGCTTCTAATATATCGTATTTTATGGCACAATTCTATAATATTTAAATAAATTGCTAATGCAATGTGAGATGCTGAAATAAGTACTAATTTCAGTACTCTTGTCAAATATTTTTAGCACTTTGAATGTCATCAGCATTTTGATAGCTCATTTTTTAATTTTAATGCTTTCATGTGTATGTAAAATTAATGGTAATGTTATGTGAAACAGATCATTAGTCTTCACTAGTCAAGAAGCAACTTGCAGCAGTGCAACATGAAAGTGTGACCATTGTCCCTTCATTTGTTAGAACAGGCTTTGTCGTGTATGAAGCTGAACTTTTCTCACGTAACAACAAATGCTAATTATGTCAAAAAGGAGATTGAAGACAATATATAACCTTCCTCTTTTGTTGTCTTTCAGTGAACACCTATTGTGGAAAGGACCTCGTGTGTTATAATCAGTTCTCTTTGTTTTTCATTGGAGCTGGAAGATTTGGTGGAAAACGAATATCAGAAAAGGCCAAGGTAAATTCACATATATTCATATTTTAAAAAAATGCATAAAAACTTCCGTCAGCCTTGCTAGAAAAATATTTGCTATATCAACTAGGAAGGATAAACTAGCATTTGAGCGTTGTTGTGATATAAACTTAAATGGAATTTAAAAGCTTCTGTTCATTGAAAAGCTTGAGTGAAGAGTTCTGTTCAGGGCCTGGGAAACCAATGGTTTTGTTTTGACAATTAGACAGAAAAGTGAATTGCTAAACATACAACTGATGAGATAATCCTACTTTCAAATATTCGAAATTACAGATATGGAATATCCTAATAGAAAACAGAATAGGAGATTCTCTGGAAAATTTAGAGTCTAAGTTCTCTGGACTTGACATTAGAAAATTATGTCTGAAGTTAAAATACAATTGAAATGCATATAAATGGGACAAAACAGTCCTCTAGAGGATTCCTATTAGAGATTTTAGAAGAAGGTCTTTTGAAGTTGACAGTGTAGCAGGCTGTAATCTGACCCAATTTGACCCAATTAATTCCATAGAAGTGGTAAAATCTTCTACTTTGGGCTTAAAATCCTACCTCTGTAGGTCAGAAGATGCTATGAGTTCAACTGTCCAATTTGGCAAGCGTCTTATTGACTCTTGGTTTTATGAAACACAAATGTAAGCTTTGCAAACAAAAGCAACTTTGTGTTTTGATTTTCTGTGTTCAGTTACTCCTAGTCACACTCCCCATAAATGAATGGATGAGGAAAGTTACTAATTTCTTGTAAAAAGGTAGCTAGAAAGGTTTTATTTTCTCAATCTACTTTTGATATGAAAAACTTTGAGAAACCTCTTAGATCAGAATAAGGACAGAGAAGTTGCTTTTATTTCTGAGTCTTCATTTCTTCAAGTAGATTTCAGGAGCTTTACCTTTCTTATATGTAGCTTTAAGAACATATTTTTTGGCTGCTCTTGTTTGAGCATGGGCAGCAAGAGGAGTGACAAAGTTGTTGAGATTCTAGATACTTTGTCTAGGGGGCTACTACTGAGGTGTTGGATTGTGCCAACTCGACTCAGAACAGAGCCCCAGTTTAAACCGGTCTCAGCTCTGCCGTCATGATCGTGTTTCAATTTCTGCGTCAGTGCTTACATCGTCGATTTGGTATGCGTGATCTGTGTGTCATCAGTTCAGCATTACAGTGTGTTCTGCTGATGCACCTCAGAGATTTTCTTTGCTTCTGTTTAAGGTGGTGGGGGGACTATTTATATTAAAAAATAAATTGATACCTAGTGATAATTTCATGTGTATGTGTGCAGAGAGTGTTCATGTTTAGGTCAGTAATTTGTTTTTCATGTGTTAAATTTGTGCTGATAGGTATGATCATATGTTAATATTGCAAGAGTGAAAGTCCTGCTCTAGTAAAAGAGTAAAAATACTGCCCTGGTAAAAACACTAGCTTAGTAAAAAGCTGAGAATTACTCCAATGTGTGATGTTAGGTTTGAACTTGCAATGTCTGGAAGAGATCTCTAGGTGTAGCTCTTTATGTGTTTGCGTGTAATAGGTTTGGAAAGCATAAAGAGGTAAAGAGAGAAGTGACATTATAGCTTTTTACTTTGAGTGGAGTGGAACTCCTGCGTTTTGGGAGGAAGTTAGCAAATGACGAGTGATTTACGTGAACACATAGTGCGTATGCTCAAATGCATGAAGTACCTGTTCAGGTACATGATGTATAACTGTTTTCTCCTTCAATACTATGTTTAAGGGTAGTGCCAGCTATGACTGAATGTTGTTATTGTGAACTAGAGTCACTAGCGTAATGAACAGTCAATTGAAGCTATTTTAAGCTCAGTATTTTTTAAGATTTATGATGAAATACCTAGGGTTTGTACATCTGTAATACCGTAGGTAATGTTCTTTGGGATTTTTGGCTGTAAACTTAAATCTGTATCAATTATATAGAAGTTTTCCCATATGTAACTTAACAAATCAAATCTTGAAATGCCTGCTGCTTTGAAGAGACTTAGGAAAAGCCTCTGTGTAGTATAAAAAATTCACAGAATATTGTTGCAGAGAGTGTATAAAGGTCTTTGATGTAACCCTCAATTCTGTAATCAGGTTTTATAATACTGCGTGTAAAAAAAATAGTGGTTGAAAGAAAATGTTGCTGTTCTATAGTGGTGGCATCAGTGAGTCCAGTGTAGTGCCTTAGCACTTTTTAGTTTAACTTTAGGCAGCTGCAACTTCTTCACTCTGTTTCGTGAAGTATAAGAATGCTATCTAAAAGATTTCATATTTTAAAATATAAAGAATACCTGTTTCAGACAGCAGTCTTTCCTGCAGTAGAAGAAAACAAAATGTAGTCTAGTTAAGGCAACGCAATCATAGCAAATTCAACAGAGGCCACTGCAAGAGGCCAGTTTCAAACAATAAATTTTCCTGCTTTTTCTTTGCTAACATTCCAAATTAAAAAGACTATCATGTCCCAATGTGCCAAAAAGAAATCCCAAGCTTATCAGACGTATTTTGTAATGTGTCTTTTTGTCACTTTACACTTACACGTTTATTGTATCTGCAAACTACAGAGAACAGATTTCCAAGTTGAGGTCTATGATGAGCAACACGTTGCGTAAGTCATGTCGCTCCCCTTGAGTTGAGGTTTTTTGGCCCTACTGGCAGAGGATTTTCCTTGATTATTCATATGTTGACTAGTTTTCACGTCTTAGTGACTTGGTAGGTCAAGTTGATTTTCTTTAAACCAACTGGAAATAGATCGGCAAGCCATTTTGATTTTTGAAAGCATGTTAGATAGTGTCCTTGTAATTAAGCTGATTGATGTGTAGGTCCATCGTGGTTCTCTGAAGTGACAAAAGGAGGAGTGATGTTATCAAGTCTTCCACCCAAGAGATGGCTTGACTCTGCTGTTAATAATCAGGAAAGAGCCTTTGCTGTTAGTAGATGTGAAACTACACAGCACTCAGTTGCTTTTGATTTCTTTTTCCTTTGGTAAAGATCTTACACAAACTAAGATTGAGCAGAATTACTACAGGTGAGAGTCAAGTTGCTTCTTTTCATTTTAGAGCTTATGTCAGTTTCTCGTTGTTTGGGCTTTTTTTGTTTGTTTTGAAAACCCAAGAAGGAGAGGTGGAAAAAAAGATTTCAGCTACTTTAATAGTTTTTAACTGGTTATGGTGTTCTTTGTGTTTGTCACAATCTAGGATGTTCTCTTCCAGTCTGTTGGTGACGTTTATATCTTCAAAACTGAAAAATGAAGCTGTAGATTATACAAAGAACAGATTTTTTACAATAATGTGAGGCTTAAAATGCAGCATGTAATTGCAAAAACAAGAGAAAAAGGTGCAAAACAAAAAAAGAGCTGGAAGCTCTTAGAGGACGAAAGTGATATAGTCCATGAGTGAATTATTAAAAAATTTTGTGCTCCATTGCACTTTTAAAAGTATTATTTTAAAAGTTTCATTTTTGTTTCTGTGTTCCAAAACACTAATGTTCTATGAGACAACTGTTTTTTTTTTTATGAGTGAATAATTCTTGCTTGAGCTGTTTTGGATAGTTTGGAAGAAATGTAATCAAACTGATCAGCTGTAACAGGGAACTGTTAGGCAGATCTGATGCCGCAGTTTTGCTATCTTTGTAAAGGAAACCTTGATAAGAAACTTTTTCTGGCCTAAATATCTTTTTCCATTTGTCTGTAAATGTAGAAAGGGTAGGAGGAACCTTAACAGCTTTGTAAATGCTGTTTCTTTTTATACATACCTTGCGTATTCTGGCATGGGTACAAATAAAAGATTTTTACAGTGAAATATTAAAACTGCTACTTTTGCTTTAGGAAACAGTGGATCCACCCAAGAGACCCCCTGATGCTGTAACTTTGGATGTCACAACAACTCATCAGGTAAAGTTGTGTATGCTCTAGGTGTGGAAACATTTTTTTGTTTATTTGGAGAAAGGAGTCTTATAGGATGTTCACTAATAGTTCAAATTTTCTCATATACCTCATGTATTTGTGTATGTATGTTTGTGTATATGTGTATCATGTGTGGTGTATACCTATCTGTGTATAATGTGAAACTAAAATTTGGGCTGGGTTATGACAGTGTGTTCAATGTACTATCTAAAATCTAGAACATTATTTTCATAAGGCTGATGAAATTTTATAATTGTTAAAGAATTCTACATATAAGGAGGAATTTAAGAAAATAAGAGGTTCAAAATCTATGAAATTAGGACAAATTGTGCAAGCAAACACATTGTAACAAAAAAGTGCTTAAAGTTTTGAAAAAGTTAAATTTCTGTAGTAGTCAGAGAAACCTTGAATTTCGATAGATACCCGTCCAAGTATATTACTGTCTGTCCCTAGTCCCACTGGTTCACAGGCATCTACTTTCCTTAGGCAAAAACTGGAGTAAATAAATATATCCTCCTCTGGAGGTGTACATATGCAGAAGTCAAACAAATAAGACAGGAAAGTCTGGAGCTACCAATATTAGGACAATGAGTAGTGTTTTCAAAAGCAACTTAGTCATGGCAGGAGGCTGTAGCTTTTGGAGATGCAATTAAATGTTGAGCATCAGCTGAACTGAGGTAACTGTGATGTCTGCTTAGCCTCTGATTGTATGTGGTATAATTAAACTTAAGTCTCATCCAGCTGATTCGTGTGCTTGAAGTCCAAGTTAGCCCTACTGACTTAAACCAGAAAAGAGTGCTTAGATGAGCATTTTGGTTTCTATCACCGATACACTTGCCGCATCCTAAAATTCACAGTATTGGTCTAGGAGGTGCAGATGTCTAATTCTTCCGAATAGGCTTCATTGAAAGTTGTCAAGGTGAGCAAGCAGCAGGGAACAGTCAGAAAGTACTTTGCTCTTGGGAGGTGGTTAAATGTAGTGAAAGGTGCATTCTATCAGCTGGCACTTTATTACATAAGATACATCAACCCTAGTGGCCCAGTAGTTGAAAGTATTTGCTTTGAATGTTGGAACCCTAATTCAGATTCTCCTCTGCGTGATTATATCCATCAATTTTCAGATAACATTTGTGATCCTCTTGTTCATATGGTAATCTTTGTTTCTGTGTCTTAAACTCCTATGTCTGGAATTGTTACTGTGAACAAAATGCTGAGTTCATGAGATAAAAGAATATGGTAGTGACTCTATAATGCAGAATTTAGGAGACTTTGCTACTGCAAAATCAATTTTTGGAAATAAAGGAAGCAGCACAGAGTAGCCACCACACTTGTTTTATTTTAAGATCTACTCTGACAGGTAGATATTATATTGTAGTGGTTTTAGGCTGATCCAGCAACTAAAACTCACACAGTCTCTCCTTCTCCAGTAAAGTAGAGAGGAGAGAAATTAAAAAAAAACCAAAGGGACTGAGGGTTGAGA